ATAAATTCTCAAAATGTTATTACAATTCTTTATAAAATTGCGTTGTATTAGGGGGCGTCCATTTATCACGTGAGGTATTTAGGGGGAGGGGAGGTTTGGCAAAAAAACACGAAATATCACGTGGGGGAGGGAGCGTATAGTAAGATATCACGTGCATTTATTTTTTAACTGATTTTTTTAAAAATATTCAAACATTCTCAAAAAAAAAATTCTAAAAAATTAGTTTTTTCACGTAACTAAAAATACACGTGATGTTTGGTGAGGGAGGGGGGTAATTTTGAATATCATCATGTATCACCAAGGGGGAGAGGGGGGTCCAAAAATCCTTAAAAACTAGCTCACGTGATTAATGGACGCCCCCTTATTAAGATATTCACACCCGGCATTAGGATCAAAAATCCTACTCACAGATAAAATAACTTAAATGAAAAAATAAAGATGTTTTTTTCCCAAAAATTATAAAGTACGTTTAATAATTAGCCAAATTGTTGAGTGTTATTTTCAAAAAGAACTTTGAAGAAACCTGGATTGGGAAAAACTGTACCTTCCAAAAATAAGGATTCATATGTACAGATGTCGGACAACTTACGAAACATCATTTACATCAAACGATGTATTTATATATATTTATTCAGGGAACTAAAAGTCGATGAAAGCAAAATTTTAAAATATAAAAAGTGAACTACAAAAGAATAAAGAAAAAGGTATAAGTAAATAAAATGTGGTACTCCCATACCACGAACCTCATCTCGAGCAAAGCACCAGTAAGAATAATAACTTCAAGTGATCACATAAACTAGGTGTAAGTGATATTTTGCTTTAAAGTAAATTCCATGAACTTCCCAATATGTTTGAATAAGCGTCTTAATATTATGGGTAAAGAGTGATAAATCAATGTATGGCGGCCTTACAATATTAGAAAATATTGCACACTTAATTCATCTTTATAATTTACTAAAAATGCTAGTTATTTTTGAAAAGCAGTTTAAATATAATTGAACACGTGCAATGTTCTGAAAGATAAAGAACTTTATCAATATGCAGTCTCATAAAACGCTGAGAAAATTTTAAATTGGTAAATTGAAATTGCTAACGAACACAAACTTCTTCCGGAAGTTTGTAAATTCTAATAATGCGCCGAATAGCTGTTAGCAATTAAACAACCGGTACAAGTTTCGTTGTTGTTTATAAAACGTTCAACAATTTGATACAATAAAACAATCAAGATAATAGTGCTTGTTATCTATCAAAAGCAGAAAGTTTATCATTCTTTTGAAGACTTCCTAAAGAACAATGCGTTGTTATCGTGCTAAAATGACACCACACGGTATTGTTGTTATCAGCAAAAGTTTGTATGCAGCTCGGACAAAACGATCATTGTACTTTCGTGCAAAATGCGTAGTAGATTATAGATACATGATGCGATATTTATAAAGCCATTGTTCTATTTGATGACACATAATGCGTGTTATTAACGGGATCATTATATTTTTGAACGTATAACAAAATTTCAGCTAATACTCCTTTATATTGAACACGTTGTAAATCGACAAATTAAGATTACTGGATATACATAAATTATATGTAATATATTCTCAAACTTATTGAAAAATAAAAGTTTTTTTTCTGATAAAATCTTATATTATTGCTTGCTAAATTCAATTATGATGAAAATTTTAATTAATGTATTGTTGAAAAAATAAGTGTCAGTAATATTTATATCTTACTTATGTAGTTCATGTAAAAGTCTCAGTTTGCATAAACAGCGTTGCATCAGAATACAAAACAGTACAAATAAAAAACTCGTTACGATTCTAACTGTACAGTGTACAAGAAACCACTTGTGCCTTCCCATTTAGGATTAAATTACATGCCAAAAATATTAAATTACATTGACAGCTTGTTAAAACATGTTTTAGATTACAATTACAACACCATTCACGCCATTTCACAAAATCAAAACTAGTTTTTTTTTGTTATAAACTTAATTCTTGTTATTAACAAAAATTTGAGGTGGCATGAAATAAATACAATGTAGTCTACGGAGGATTTCAATTTTAATATGATTAGAAAATTGTGCCAATATAGGTCAATCAAAAACTGGATTGGATGGATGATCAAAGAAAATATAATCTAATCAATCCATCATAAAAAGTCAAACTGAAAGTAGAAAACGAATTCACTTTTTATTCATCTTAGTCATACCGAAAAGGATTAGGATCATGAACTCAATTTGCATCCGAGATTGCTGTTGCAAATTCAATTTGCAAAATCTCGTTCGTGATGTGGATGGATTTTATAGATTCAATGGAGTAATAAAGGCAACAGTAACTCTGATTTTCGTAATAATTTTAAGAAAGTTTTGATAAACAAACATCACGTTTTGTAATAACTAACGACGCAAATTATAGGTCTGTAGGATTCGGATGCAGTATTTGTTTCGGATGAGTAGCGAAGCGAAAACGTGACTCATTTTGTTCAAGAAGTTATGGAATAAATTAATTTAACAAAAATTAATTCATGCTATGTAAATTTTTAACTTCACGAAGAAGTTTGTTTTCGCCCGAAAGTCCGATTTGCTGAGAGTACGTTCACTCGACATTTTAAAGTATATAAATATATATAATTAACATAATTATGTATAATATATTTAGCAAAAATGCAAAAAAAAATCTCGCCCAAGTTATTCGCAAAAAATCCCAAATCAACTTGAAAAATTTACCACTCATTCAAAATATATCAGTTGGAAATCATACTGATTCGTTTTTGGTGAGAATCGGGCCAGCAGATACTTCGAAATTGTTTAATAATGTTTTTCATATGATATCTCAATTAGTATGGATTTTAGTAAGGAATTATTTACTTACACACATAGAAAAGTTTTTGCAACTTTCCTTTAATTTGAACCGTATCAAATTCCTTTAGGTCAATCCGATATTAACCCAATTTCTAAAAGAAACAATATTCCTATTTCTCAGATTACTTCATGTTTCCTACACGATGTTACAGAACCAATTCCTTTTAATTTATTCTTTGAAAAGCAACATTTATGTAATAAAGACATGAAAAGAATGCGTTTTGGTCGAAGATAAGTCACGCGACATTTAAATGAAATTATGATATTCAACAGAACATGGCACGATAAAATAGTTACGCTTTTAATTATAAAATCAATTTGGGAAGCAATTTCATGACGAACATCAATAAAATAAGACATTGCATAGCTCATTATTATAAATGGTACACATTTCCTGGTTGTAAAACCAATTAATGATTATTAATGAATATCTTAAACACTGTGAACAACCTGCAAATAGATAATAACGACCAAGAAAATAAAATTGAGGTTTTTACTTAGATTCCAAATTTAGTTATTCAGATTATTGCTAAATAATTTTTCCTCAAGATAAATTGGATAGCCAAATAAGTTTTAAAATTGTAAACTAAAACTAGGGCTTTACAAATAGCAATTTCAATTATTAATGATTGGTGAGAACTTAAAATATCGAATTAAACTCTAAGAATATGCCACAACTCATAGAAGCTAACACTCACTTTATATATATTAAACATTTTATATCTAATAAAATGCGAGCATAGCATATTTCGACAAGAAAAACCGTACTTTTGGTTGAGAATAAAAAAGTTATAAAAAAAGCTTTATGGGTTCACCGTAAAAAATGAAGATACACAAATTGAAGAACATGCCGAGAAACATACTTGGACCATGTGTGATGAAAGTGCACCGACGATGAACCATGAGAAAATTTAACAGCAAAAAATATAAAACCAAATCTTTCATTTAATAAATTTTTTTGCTGTTCAGATTTTGTATTATTTACGAATAAAAAATTCAGAGTATCGTGCGTGGAAACTAAACTGCTTGAATTGCATGTTTAAGATGATGTTGCACAACTTAAAAACAATGTAAGACAGGTAAGAAAAAATACTTAACAATATAAATACTTACAGAATATAAATGAATAATAAAAAATAATAAATATTCGTTGTTATACTTTATATAAAACTTTATATAAGAACTCAGTTTAAAGTTAATATTATTATATAACTAACAGTACATAATGAGCATATGGGCTGTTATACTGATTTGTTGAACGACTTGGCTTTTTATATATGGCAACCCAAACGATGATGCATTATTCATTATTAAAATTTCTCAAATCAATCTCAAACTTTGATGCAGCAATGCATAGTAAGGGTTATTTTCACTTGTAAACACATAACCATATGTATTTTCAAGTGAAAACCAATATTTCTGCTGCTTGACATCATGCTGTCATAGGTTGGTCCACAGCTCCAACCACAAGGAAGCGCATTTTAAAATGAGTAAAAATTAGTTACTACAACCGAAGAATTAGGGGACAATAGAAAACTTAGCAGGGTCGAAATAAATTCATCTTTTCGCAAAATAATATAAAAGTGATTAATACTTTTATATTATTTTGAACAAATTCTACAAATTTATAGAACACTGAATAAAGTAACTGTTACCCTTATGAATTAATTATGACTGTACCAAAAATAAATAATAAATACAAATTACTTAATATTAATTTGTATTGTCGATTAGTTAAGGATAGTAATTTCGAACCTATATTTTAAAGCAAGTTTAAACGAGCTAAAATATAACTTGAAGAATTTAAATTACATATATAAGAATATACGTGCGTGTGCATGTGTACAGCAAGTATAAATGATTAATATAAAAATGTATATCAAAAATCTTGCCAAATAAACTGAAAATGTGTCCCCACCTAACGCGGATCCTTTGAATAAACCAGTTCAGCAAGTAATCCTTCCACAAATGAATTTGTACGAAACATACACACAATAAAAGAATTGTGTGATACGATACGACACAACAATATTCATAAATCTTACGACATATTTTGAAATAAACATATCTCAAAATCATTTTTGCGCATTTTTATAAGAAAAATACATTTACATACAATTATATAAATGTAAAAATCACTTACGAGATGTCTGGACTTCAGTCATTTTGGAAGAGTAATGAAATTTTGCTCAGGCAGATGTTTATATCCGAATCCAAGGTCACTTGAAGCAAAATATAGGGGTTCACTGAAGAACAATATGTCTCGTAATCTGTAATAAAAGAATATTTTTATATCGACTAGACACAAGATTTGTTATGATCAGTTATATAAATATGCAAGTTTTTCATTAGAAGGCACTATCTTAAAAATAATTTGCTAGAAACTGCAGTTAAACATACAATATGTAACATTGAAAGGTTGATACTAGTATGATAAATATAAAATGCAAAAAACGTTCAATGAAGCAATAATCAAACCCTACAATAACTATTGCGAGTTTCAAAAAAAAACATGAATTCAACGTTATTGTGAAAAAATAAATATCTTTGTAATAAACGTTAATCAATTGAGTCGAGCAAATAAAGACAGACACAGAACTTCGGTACATTTTCAACAGGTTTTTCATACTAATAATGAAAATGTAAACAATAACATAGTATAAATATATTACTAGAATTGGTGTATACAAAAAAATCATTAATGAAAATCGATGGATGTACTTTGACAACTAAAGCAAATTTCCAAAATAAAAAATAATACGTACAAAACATGTAGCATAACAAAAGCTTTTACGATTATAATGTACTCTAAATGTTTAAGTTTATTACAAAGAAATTAGTCACTCCATTAGACATAAAAAAGAATTTCAAACAACCATCCGATCGGCCAAGACAAAGGATCACGCCACGCTAAACACAAATCGTACATACATCGAAATACCTTAACATAATTCGCAAAATAAAGTATATTCAATATTCCTAATTATATTTCTAATATATTAATTATATTCTAAACACTAACCACAAAATGTATCAAGGAACTGCAGCCACAATCAACACTACTTGTTCACTGACAGACTGTTGCGAATGCAATGAGGAGAAGACTAAGCCATCGGCCAGTGCAAGGCACAAAGCGACGAGAGTTGTTTATAAACAAGCCGAGAAGCCTGTTGAATGCGAGCCCGCCATTGGTCCGTTTGAATTCGGACGTTAAATTGTGCAAAGATTCGTTATTTGTAAAAGAAGTAAATAAAATCATTAAAATTTAACAGAATCGAATGAATCATCAAAAATGCAAGGCCGTTCCGCTCGTTTAAATTTAAATTAATCTAAATTTTATTGTATTTGAACTTTCGCGTTAAGTTTGTGCAGATTGATTACTTTACTTTTTATAGGTTGCAGTTTTGGATATTTTTGATTTTACTTTTTTGGGTTGCAGGTTTGGATATTTTTGATTTTACTTTTTTAGGTTGCAGTTTTGGATATTTTTGATTTGACTTTTTTAGGTTGCAGTTTTCGATATTTTTGATTTTACTTTTTTGGATTGCAGTTTTAGAAATTTTTGATTTTACCTTTTTGGGATGCAGTTTTGGAATTTTTTTTACTCATGGTAGTCTTCATCAGTAACAATAGTATTCGTGGCATACTATATTTATAAAATAAAATTAGTAAGTAATCCATAAAAGCCTTATTTTAACGGGCATCTATCCGTTATTAAAAGAAAACATAAATTATGTTTACTAAAAAAAAATTAATAGACTAGCATACGTTTCTAGTCTTAGTTTGACTATTCCTCAGAGCAAAAAACTAGAATTGTATAGTTTTTTAATTAATAATATAATGAATATTTGAAATTTATAAATAATTAGTAAAAAATATGGTTGCATAGTTATTATATATTATTTATTAGTTATTATTATATTATATTATATTATTATTTATTAGTTATTATTATTATAATCCTAAAAAATTAAAAAATTACAATTGAAAAATTTATTAAACTTTCAACAAAAATAACGGATAACAAAAAAATAAACCAAGCAAAATATATAAAAAAAGATTTTTTACAACACAAACTAATTTTTTCTTTGTAAAAAAATCTATAAAAAACACAAATCACATGCAAATGGCAAAGGTTTCATCCGTTATGATACCCAATGGCTAATAATTTGCAAACCCAAATTCTTGGACGGTCAAACAAACTTCAAAAATGATGAAGGTCAAATTAATAATTTTTTATGATTAATGATGCATCTGATTATAAAGTAAAATTACAACATATAAAAGGATTTGATTCCTTTTCTGTCATTTGATCGTCTTGATGCCTTGCATTAAGGCAATTTAAAACATTTTATAATTCATTCTGAATTATTTTTACATTTAATGAATCTAAATGCCCCTAGCCTATATAATAATTCTAATGTCTCAAAGACAATCCAGAAGAACAAAAAAAAAATGCTCATGAATTCTGAGTTCAGAAAGAAAATAAACTGAACCAAACAAACAATAACAGTATCATAAGTTGATGTAGATATAAAATTATTGTCTAATATTTTAATATTATAAAGAAGAGGACATGCATATCAAACATTTCATGAAACAAATCAAACCAATATTCTACTTAATCATTAATTCAAATAAATTAAAAGTTTCAACTTTTAAATATTATGTTTTTAGATAATAATACTTTATAATTTAGCCATGTTTTTGATCTATATTTTAAAATACAACTTTTTTCAAATAATTTTGAAATTATTTATTGTCTTTTATATATTTATTATTTCTGTTATATCTTTTATTATCTTGATTGCATTTATATATTCTTATAAACAGATTATTTTCTATTTATTTAGTTTAGTCTCTGAGCAAGTGTGTTAGTGCACTCGTTCGGCGTTCCCGTGGGCGTTTTGTCCGTTGAGTTCTAGAAACAAGTCTTTGCCTTTTTAAGAATAATATCCAGTTTAAGAAGCCCGCCTGTCCCACGCAAAACGCACTATAAACAGCCATATTAAAGTGCAATGGACTTTTGATAAGAAATTTTTGCGGGAAAGAAAATAAAACAGATCACGAACCGCTTTTTATTCAACTTAAAAAGTATCCACGCGATTAATGCCTCTTCTAACTTATTGTTAGCAATATCAATTATCTGTTGGTCTTTACATGTGTAATTCTTTAGCTGGGAATATATTGTATTCATTCCATATTATGATTGTATTTATTCCATATTGTTATTACATAGTATTTATAATTATTTGCATCACAAATACTTTAAACTATATTTTGGAGCACAAAGCAATAATTTTCTGCAGTTTAGGCTTATTAAATTTGTATGAATGTTAGAATTTGAATCAGGCTTTTACCCTAGTTTTTAGAAATGTTTAATTTGCTTTAATATAATTATAACAATAACCCATATCTTGAATTTTATGATTTATATGAATAAAAAAATTATAGTTTATATCATACATTTAATATGTCTTTTTAAATAACATATGATTCGAGTCAATTATACAGTCAATTAATCTATTCTTAAAAATTGGTTTCTCATAATTGTAACTAGAAAAATATGATATCACACAATAGCTTTTGCAGTTCCAAATACTAAATACAACAACCATCCACACAGACTAATTGCTGCAGTTAAATTGAAAACAGCAGGCCAACTTTGGGTAACTTCCAATATGTGCCCCGCTAAATATACCCCTAAAAAACCTACAAATTTAACAGAAAGCTAAAGTCAAATCTCGTTATTAGCTTTGAATAAATTGCTTTTTCTATATAAAAGTTTATATATATTTATGGATAACAATAATACTAACCTGGAACTGAACCAACAGTATTCATGAGACCAAAAACACTACCAGCATGTGATGGTGCTAAATCTTGAGGATTAACAGTTATTCCATTATTATGAAAACCTGTGCCACCTATTTAAAAAAGAATACAATTCATATATAAAGAAGTACAGGCATGTTTTAAGGTAAATTTACCAATTATAATGACCATCCAAAATAGTGCTTCATAAAATGTTTTAGATCCTGATAAAAAATACAATCCTAAAACTTCACATACAAAACACAGACTTTGAATTATTTTTCTAACGTACGAAAGGGACGTCCCTCGATTTATCAAATACTCTGATAAAGCCCGTGCTAGTACTGTACAAGGCACCAGTGATAACCAGGGTACCATATTTACAACCCAGCCCTAAAAAAATATAAATATAATATACTTAATGTTCAAATGTAATAAACAAGAATCATAATAACAAAATTATCAAACTAAAATAAAATTAACTAGAAGATTAATTTACATTACCTTTGCATCTGGGAATGTATCATGAAAATAAGTGGGCATCCAAGATAATAAAACAAAAAAACAATTGGTCTGACATGCGTGCCCAATAACACATGCCCAGAATGATAATTTTGACATTAAAGTCAACCAAGGTACTGTAGGTTTTTGCCTAGACAATTGCCGAGGCACTGATAAAACGACATTATGATTAGAAGAAATTATTAAATATCTCAATCCTAGTGCCCAACAAACTCCTAAAAATCCTGAAATATAGAAAAAGGTCTAAAAAAAAAGATTCGCTAGGCTATAACATAATCTATACAATTGTAATAGAGAATGTAAATTTTATAAATAATAACACCTAATTAATAATTATGCTTACTTTAACAATAATTAATCATTAATATTAATAGATTCATATAAACAAAGAAAATAAGCATAAAAAAACTGTTTTTTATTTTCAGAATTGTAAATAAATATGGAAAAATAATTAATCTACAATTTGAGATTAATAGCATGCTATATATTTAAATCTAGATGATAATTACCAATTGACTGAGAGTGTATTATTCAGAAGTAATTTATGTTTATTTTACTATTTACAATAGCAAATGATTGAATTTGTTGATAAAGATTGTGCAGAAAACCTTATCAGTATATATTGTTTTTAGAACTGTTATGTTTTCATGTTTACAAATTCAAACAATGTTATCACACTATTAAGATATTCAAAATAAACTTCAAAGCACTTTGCATGCTGTAATAAAGCCCTGATAAAAATAATATTTAATATTAAAGAAATTTAATAAATCCATGCATCACTTATAAAAAAAAATCTGAATAAATAATATTTCAATAAAGTTATATAAATAGTAAAAAAAAAAACAAAAAATTAAGATTTTGTTATACCTTACCTATTATGTGGAAAACGGAAGGCCATCCAAAATAATCTAGAAGAAAAGAACCTAAAGATCCTGTCAGTAGAGTACCAAGCGCGGATCCCACTGTTAAAGTACTAAAATAACTAGCCCTTTCTGATTCAGGGAGACGTTGGCTAGTTAAACTTATCATACTTGGAAAATGCACACCCTTAATTGAAATGCAAGTTTAGTATAACACAAATCATATTAAATGTTATTGTTTGAAATGATAGTTATAAGCACAAATTAAGAAAAGGGTTTGCATGTTTAATCTACTATACAAATAAATACTTTTGACTTAATTATTAAATTAATTCTTATTTGTAGAATAAAGAAGTATAAGATTTGTATATACTAAATACAAATTTTATATTTCATTATTATATTATTAAAAGCAATCTCATATAAATTTGTTAGTGAAAAACGGCCAAAAAAATAATTCAATTTAATAACAGCACTTTAGTACTTAATATTGATGCAAACATTTGAAACTTTTTCAACATTTTTCATACTTCGGTATTTATATAAAATAGTCTATTAAGTTACCTGAAAAGCTCCATTTAATACACGAATTGCTACTATGAAATATACAGATAATGATGCATCTTTTATTAACCAAATAAGTTGAGGCATCCATAATGTAATTAAAGACCATCCTATTGCAGCAGTTAAAATCACTCTTTGGCCCCCTAGTCTATCAGATAAATACCCGCCTAATACCTAAATGGAACAAAATTATTTATGTATTATCCTTATTACAAATACAGACAAAAGAAATATTTTATAAATAGCTTCTGACTTGAGTTAAGGTGTATCCCCAAAAAAAGGAACTAAGAACCGTGCCCGAATCTGTTTTCGTCCATTTTCTTTCTGAAGCTACAGCTGGCATCAAAAGTGGCATTGTTGTTCTTGTTGAATACAAAGCCGATGTGCCCAAAAGCAGCGTGACAAACCATATTCGTTTCTCATTCCTGAAAGAGATATATGTAATTAGTGTTATATCAAAGTAACAAAATCCAAAAAAAATCATTTGAATTGCAAATTTATTCTTTAGTGGACTTAATTATTTGTATATTTTATGATTGTTAAATTTGTGTCCACATTTACATACTTTTACAAGATATTGCACAATATTAATCTGTCAGATATTATAGAACAGAAACCATTTAACAAAATGAACAAGTTTTTTAATAGTTCTTAAAAATTCATGATTATAAAACAAATTAAATAAAAATGTGAACACTATTATTATATACAAAATTTATCTATGACAACTTCAGAATTACAAATATATAATTACTATGCAAATTAGTTAATTGAGTACAAAGTAGTGATAGCAACTGCAATTAGTTTATTTTAATTAGTCTATTTACCTAGTCCATATATTACTATCATCCGAAACATCTTTGGCTAATAAAGAATATTTTAATTTTTGCTCCATTACTAAAAGATGTAACCAAAATTAATTTTATTTGAAAATGTCATTTCTGCTTGATTATACATTAGAAATATCTGCAGACTACTAAATCTAATGTAACATGCTTGGTTGATAATCGTAATGTTTTATTAACACAGAATTAAAAATATAAATATTGATAAGTAAATACTGAAACGTTGGCATTTTGACATTTGTAGAATTCAACACACACTACATCTAGTTGCACAAGGTGGAATTCCGAGATAGAGTCGAAGACAGAATTTAAACCATTATCGTTATTTAACGGTTAATTTTATTGAACTATATTTTCGTTAGTAAATTTCCGTTTTGAATAATCTAATAATAAGATAGATTTCAATAAATCTAAGATTTTGTTCCCTATTGTATCTGAAATTCACAAAAGTCGAAACAAAATTAAAAAAATTAGTGAATTGTTGAAAAATGAATATTATAAGGAATACAGATCAACCATATAAATATATTGTTATATTCTGATCATTTCCTTATATATGATTCTATGATTCTATACAATTCTATATATATCGTCCAGGATCAACCCTGAGAATAACTTTGAACTGACTTCTTTGAACAACTTTGAACTAACTTCAAGCACTTCAATGTACTTGAAGTTATCCAGGACGAAAGACAAGTCATAGATAAGAAAATAAAAAGTAGTCCATAAAAATCGAAACAAAATTACAAAACTTAATGAATTGTCTAAAAACGAATACTATAAAGAATACAGATCAACTATATGAATATATATTTATATTCTAATCATTTCATTATCCATGTTTCAATATGCTTCAAGTACTTCAACATACTTGAAGTTATCCAGTAGAGAGACAAGTCAATAAATGAGAAAATAAAAAGTAGTTCATAAAAATCGAAACAGAATTACAAAACTTGATGAATCGCTGAAAGAAGATTATTATAAGAAATACAAATCAACTATATAAATATATTATTATTTCCAATCATTTTCTCAACCCTAAGACCATGGTTAAAAGAAAGGTATGCCTAAGACCAACTTGGAACTGAACCTGCGGATAACTTCAAGTACTTCAATATACCTGAAGTTATCCAGTACGATAGACAAGTCCAGAAATAAGAATATAAAAATTCTAAATCGAATAACAAATTTTAATAAATTGTCTAATAAATAATATAATTATAATGATAAAAGAATCAATCATATGAATATATTATTAAATTCTTATTATTTTCTTATCTATGATTTTATATACATTGTATAGAATCACTTTGGGAAGCTTGATACACTATTGGATGTAAATAATATAGCTTTTCAAAAGAACTGTTTTAAAAATTAAATATTTTATAACATCTTTCGAATTTTATTCTACTTTACACGATTTTCTTGATATTTTTATAATTTTTTAGTAAATCTATCTAAATGCATCTTATAAAATAATATATATGGGATAATTGTATATTCTCAAAATATTATTTTTGCTTTTATCCAAATACATACTTACAACTTTTACAAAAGTCAATAATAAATAATCTATAAAATGTACTACCTGCTTCGCTTATTATTGATTTTATCTTGCATTTAAAATCTAGTAATTCCGGAATCCAGTTATTTGCATAATTAGGTTCTAACGCAACATGTGGATTAACAAGTTTTGATGTCGTTTCAATCCGATATTTTTCCGAAACAATTTGCGTGTCAGTTATTGAGTGGCTTCGGCTTTGATAACTTTCTCAAGATTATTCATTTTGATTGTTGTAAAAAATGCCTTCTTTAAACTTGAGCGAAAATGATCGTGCTGTGTTAAATAGTATATTTAATCCGTCTCAACCATTAGGAGAAAACGCATTCGAGGAAGATATTCCAGAATTATTAGAAGGTAAAGAATATAATCAATATTTGATACATATTATAGCTAATAAAACGCTGGTTCAATATGCTTACAATATACTAGTAAAAATTTAGTGTTCCAGGATGATCAAATTTTTTGATATTGTATAATTTATTATGATACGAAACATACAAGTATGAACAAAAAATATTAATAAGCAAAAATAAAATAAAACTGGTAAAATTAAGAAAGAGTTTGTTTTATAAACAAACATTTTCATAAAAATATAATTTTTTGATAACTAACTGTTTTTAACTTTAATACTTGTTATTAGATACATTAATACTTGTTACATTAATAAATTCCATGAATCCATACTATAAAAATTATAATATATAAAATTTATAAAATGAACCATAAAAAGTATGATACTTTGCGTATAATAGATTAACTAATGTTAAAGAAATTATAGAATGCAATTTAAAATTTACAAAATTATCAACATTATAAATAATGGATTACACAAAAAATAAAAATAAGAAATAAAATATAGAAATCATATCACATAAACTATTTGAACAAATTACGTGCATAAAGGGATCGAATAATAGATAAAAAAATATTTGTGAGAATATGATTTTAATGCTTAGAAATTATAACGTTCAAGTATTACGTAAGCAGATTTATTACAATTATTTACCCCCCCCCCCCATCCCCCTTGTCAGCAAAAGTGAGCAAAGCTCTTACCCCCTACCCCCATGCTTACGTAAACATTTTTGCAATTAATGTAAAAAAATAAAAATACAACCTATGACGTAATCATCATCCAGACTCTCCTGCCCCCCATGTCAACTCAAAATAAGCAAATCAACAACCCTACCGCGCCCCTATAGTGCTTACATAATACTTGAACGGCCTCTAATGAACAAAATACTAAATTGAAATAATCATATATTAAATTTGAAAAAAAATTAATATGTTACCGAATAACATGTGTATAACTGGTAAATTGTAGTGTTTTTCAGCATAAAATAGAAGAAATTTAGAATATTTAGTTTAATTTTTAATAACTAGATAAATGTTTGTCAAACTTATTTATTTTAAATATATATATATATATATATATATATATATATATATTAGGGTGGTCCTTAAAATGGTCATTTTCGAATTTCCTTGCTCCCAGGGGCTCAAATGGTTCCAAATAGATAAAAAACAATTCTCTGAAAGTTTTAGCTCTTAATATTAACGTTTAGATAGAGCGCAATTCAATCAAAATTTTGTATGGAAATAGCATGGAAAAATTTTCAAAAATTTTAAAAATGTTTTTTAAATGTAATTTAGCGAACAAATGAATGAATAAAACTCATTCATTTGTCGCTAAGTTATACCTAAAACATTTTTTTTAAATTTTCAAAAATTGTTTCATGCTCTTTCCATACAAACTTTGATTGAATTGCGCTCTATCTAAAAGTTAATATTAAGAGCTAAAACTTTCAGAGAATTGTTTTTTATCAATTTGGAACCATTTGAGCCCCTGGGAGCAAGGAAATTCGAAAATGACCATTTTAAGGACCACCCTAATATATATATATATATATATATATATATATATATATATATATATATATATATATATATATATATATATATAATTTAATTTTATGAATATTTTAGATCAAGAAGACCCGCAAACACCATTTTTGAACGACGCACGAGCCTTGGAAGCTGAAGCTGTCCGTTTGGCCGAAGCCGGGGATTTGGCAGCCGCGCTGACCGTGGTGGACCGCGCGATAGACCTGCTGCCCGGTCGTCCTTCAGGTTACAACAATCGCGCACAAGTTCACAGGCTGGCGGGACGAGACCAAGGTACACGAAAGTTTTTACGGTTGCATATAATTCAGACACATATGGATAATAGAAATATCAAAGAATTTGTTGGTTTTTAAAAATTTATGGGTAAAACGATTAAATATTCCCATATATATGTGCATGTAAATGATAGTGGATATTTGATATAACCATAAAATATTATCCCAAATATCTTGATGCTTAAACAAATATTAAATACTATAAAATATTATCCAAAATATCTTGAAGCTTACAGAAATGTACATGTTATTTTAGTCCCTCTTCACCCCATATAGGTTTTGTAAAGTTTTGCATATTAAAAGTGTTTCTGTTTAGTATATATCAACATAGTTAATTAAAATTCATTTTAAGATTTTAAATTCAAATTATAATCAAAACATTTTCCATTCCTCTAGATGCTTTGTCGGATTTAACTATGGCTGTGAACCTCAGCTCCGGAAAAGGAAGATCTGGTGTGCAGGCTTTATGTCAACGGGGCCTCCTGTACAGAAAAACTGGTGAAGACGATTTAGCTCGGGAAGATTTCAACAAAGCCGCAAGCTTAGGCTCCACCTTTGCAAAAAATCAGGTGAATAATAATTTTTAGCAATTTATTGCTATCTGGATAAAAAAAGATTTTAATTGTGCTTCTGTTTCAGTTAGTGGAAATGAATCCTTATGCTGCTTTATGTAATCAAATGTTGGGAGAAGTTTTTGCCAAATTAAAATAATAGATAAAAAAAATTATTGTGTAAATATGATTTTATGTTTAGAAATTGTCTACAGTGATATATTTGTAATTAAGGTGTACTAAATATAAGGTACTTAAACATGTTATAATAAGAAGAATAAAATACACAGGTATTGTATCAATATATTATATCGCAGTATTGAGAGTGTATTATAGCAAAATAAAATAATTTAATTGAATTTCGTATCGTTATTTCATTGATTTTAATTCAGAGCGTTCTAATAAATATTTTATTTCAAATATTTTTTAAGTATTCAATAAAAAAGTAGAATTGTTAGAATTCCTCTGGACAAGTTGAATAATGTTAGCCTTATCCATCAACAGTGACTAAAAACTTGTTACTCCATTGATTTTAAGGATTATAAATTGTTTTCTTATGAAGATTTTTTTGAACGTCATTTGGGTATATAATTTTTATATATGTTAAAAATTAAGTTTCAGCTTAATGGGATTCTAAAATCTATACTCCAAAAGCAGACTGTAATCGCATTAAAGGGCAATGATATGAAGTGATTATGAAGCCATATAATTTGCAACGTGCTTGAAATACTTTATATTAAAAGTATTTTGACCTATCAGGTCATGGTGGGAACAAAGCTCCATATGAAATATGCTATACTTATTTGCCAATATTAATAGAAGCGTATCATAAATCCCTGGTCTGGATAATAAAAGAAGAATATTTTTATCATATATGATTGTGTGTTAAAACATGTTAAACAAGAATGCAAAGTGGATTAAAATATTACCAGCGTTTTGATGAAGATTGAATTTTCTTCAAATTTAATTAAAGTTTCTGTCATAAAAAAATCTTTATGATTAAATAAATAAAATACAAAAGGACAACACAAAACGATGCAGCTGTTCTATTCGTTAAGGCGGCAAAAGGCATTTTGTATGATAAAGGTCATATAACGATCTAAATTTCAGTGACATTTTATCAAACTTTGGACGATAATTAAAAACATTTCAGGTATAAAACTATAAATAAATTATTTTATACTCACGATAAAGAACGTATATAGTTCGTTCGTGTATACATATATAATTGGTTTTGTTTCCACACCGATTTTTTTTTTAAATATTGTAATTGAAAGCAAAAGTAAATAATGCCATGTAAATGTTGTTTGAAAATTAAAATCGTGGTAAAGAGGCGTCTGTTACTGTCATTTTTTGCTGAAATAATTACACCAATGACACGGCGACAAAAACTTAAAATTCATGTAATCGTTTTAACAACGTTTGTTTTTTTTGAACGAAAACCATTTTTTATAATCAGACGATGCCCAAGGTGTCAAACTTTCACGAGGTCCCGTCCAGATTCGGATTTCTTTATGAAGATTATTAATAATAACATTTTATTTAATAATTCAAGCTACATAAAAAATATAAAAAGCAGATATGTACATAAATTTGTTTGATTTCACCTTGTGATACAAAAATAAAAGTGAATATATCTAGTAAATGATAAAAAATGCAATGGATTTAAATAATGTTTAGATTTAAAATTTTTAGGAGATTTTGGTTTAACTATATTCAATGCAAAAATATTGCAATTCAATATTTTTTTAGTAATGAACAATATCAAGGAAGCTAAAGAGGAAGGATGTATAAAGCAGATAAGGATATAAAGTTTGATTTTTCATTGTGATACATTATGTACATAGTATATAATAAAGAAATGATAAAAAATATAATTGATTTAAATAATAATGTTGACATTGACGATTTTTAGTAGAGAAATAAATTGCAATATTTAATCATTTTTTTATTTTATTATACATATATAGCAGCAAATAAATACAAACTAATCTTACTATTTTATTCATGATATTAAAAAATAAATAGTGTTGATTTCTTTTGTGCTAACTGCTAACACATCAGATCTTCGAGCTACTAGAAAAGATTAACCCACATAGAATTTGATGTCCAGATAGCAAAATAATTAAAAATCCATAAATGTATTTCTGTAATAAATCATCTCGTGTTATATTGTTATATCACACCATTGCTTTAATACCATTCAATTATTCAATTTCTATAACAATGAATTTTTATCATGGTATTGTTGGAACGAATACCATTCCCTAACGAAAGCTCAGCCAGTTGGTCAATCATTGTCCCCTCTTCACTATATGCCAATCCCTTGGACAACATTTGGCCAATGAAATAACGGACAAATTATTTAAAGTATTTTGACATGAACGAAAATAAATTAAATCCTTACGATCCTTAAATTAAATAACTTGGCATAAGGATCAATAGACACGAAATTTGAATGGTTGATGGATTGACAGTGATATAAATTGGGGATGGATTTAATAATAATCATGTATATATATATATATATATATATATAGGTATAAATACATATACATATACATACATATATATATATATATATATATATATATATATATATAAATATATATAAATATAGGGTAGGACAGAGATATGGTTGGACCATTGTGACTTTTAGAAATTATGCTGTATAAACAAAACCTAACACATTATGCTAAATAACATATATCAAACGAACTATCGACCTTTGTTCAATAAACTTTCCAGCTAATTCATCATTATAAAGATATATTTTTACCATTTTGCTCATTTTTAAATATTTTTCATATGGCAATAAGGAAGACTCTTTTACCCGTGAAATTGAATAGAATATGGAAAATTGCATGAAAATGAACAAAAATACTATATAAACTTGCAACATTAATTTTGTACAATTTTCAACAATATGCTGTATAAATAATATTATGTTTTTATATATGATTTATAATTTTAAAAAACATAATACATGTAACGTGCAAAAATTCATAACAAATAACATACGAACTAAACACAAAATGTAGTAAAAAATAAGAACAAGATTATATAAAAAAATATAATAAGTGAAGTTGTTAAAAGTTTTATTGCAAATCCAACTGGTAAGTATATGCATACTATTTTATTTTGTTAATAAAATATTTGCACAAAGTGCATTTTTTAATTTTTTTACAAAACGAGTTTTCGAAGATTTATTTTTGTACCTATTTTATTATTGATATAATTAAAATATCATTAAGGTATTCTGAAATCAAGCTTAAATTTCAATAATTACAGTTTAATTAAATAATAAGTACAGTAAAATCATTTTTCATATATTCTTGATACAACAAAAAAAAAGTTGTTGTATGATAATATATTTTTTTTCGATAGGTTTTACTAAGGGTTTTAAGAAAGCCGTTAATCATAGAAAAAATCTGATATGAATTTATAAGAAAAAACTGTATATTATTATTATACTGTATATAAAACGGAAACTGAGCAAACCCCCCAAAAAAATATATCAATATGCATTATAATACCGTACGATCAGAATCATCTGGCGTTCCGGGGCAACCTGTTACTTCGAAAGGAGCGTGCGCTTTGTCTATCGGGCTACCGAATCTAAAAAATATAGAATTTTAACCTATGAACCATTTTTTGTTTGTCAAAATTCTTTTTATATCGATTATCGATCGAGCAGAAGCTGTATATTTATTAAAAGGGTTTGACATAGCGGTAACTAGATAATAATCTGTTACTTTTTTCTCAATACATTGGGGAAACTGTTATATACACAGAATTTGACGATGCTAAACAAACGCTTTGGGTGTATTGATAATAAAATGCATATGCTTGTCCAGAATTTGGATATTTAAATAATATTTGGATATTTAGATATCTGGTATTGATTTTCTTTCTAGCTTGATTTGAACCATATGCAATAATAATTGAAATTAAAAATTCCAATTCATAAATATGAGGGGTTTTCTCTCATACATAAGGTATTGATTTATATAGGCAGGATGGGTAGTTCTAATTTTATTATCAAGTAATTACGAATATTCAATTTAAACCTATACTTTTCGAAAATCTGGGACAAATATTTCTTTTAAAAGGATACAAGGTGGAAATCCTAGACCAAACCCCTGTTTGGTCGTATGGTCATCTTAGTATTATATATTGTCCTCTTACTAAAAAGATCTAGTTCAAAAGTAAATGATAATATCTACTTTTGATTTTATGTATTTTCTGTTTAAATACATGGAACGACTTGCATTAATTATAAACTCGTGCATCTATCGTAATCAGCATCGTAGGGCGACTTGTCAACGGGCAACGGTTCAACAAGAGCGCCGGCAGGTGTGTTCGCGCAGTGGTGCATCATCAGGGACAAAAATATAAATTATTCTAATGAAAAATATAAACATAAATACAAGTTTCAAATGAAACAAGAAATTTTCTTCTGAATCTAACATATACTTTCGACTGACTTGATATCAAGCTGATAATAACAAATTTTTACTTGAAATTATAAATGATGATCTCAAGTATGATCTCAAGTGAAATTGGTATTTCGTAGACATTGCTGCATCATGCATAAGCTCATCTCTTAGATATACATATTTGTTAGATAATATCTATATAAATTAGATATTACATGATCACATGGATTAGATATTTAATTAGGTTCACATATAAAAAAGAGAGAAGTTAAGTGCTGGATTGTCCTCTCGAAAAAAATAGTGGGTTGAGGTGTACAACAGAAACATCTTATAAAACACGTAATTCTAATTAATGTAAAAATATGCATAAAATATATTTTATTATGACGTGTATACTTTTATCCTCTATTTTATACAAAATGCATTTTAAAATCACAAAATATGTAATAATATCTTGGGAAATTTAATTTACATATAATGCCCTTTATATTCTATTTGTGAAAAATATTTTTCACAATTTGACGTATTAAGAATAAATGTAATTTATTTATGTTTAAAGTTTTCTTTTACTGGCTGAGCTACGTCCATGGGCGACAGGTTGAGTAAAATAGTCAGATGTGTACCCGAGAGAACAAGGTGCGTCCGCGGCATTTCATTGTTCGCATCTTCGGCGCGCGTAACGCGAGCGCGTGGCACAAAAACCAGAAGGACCCCGTCTCGATCATAATA